AATAGGATGGGAGAAAAGGAAGGGGGGAAAAAAAGGAAAAAGGAAAGAAAAGGTAGGGGGCAGCGGGGGGGGAGAAGGGAGGGAAAGGAGGAAAAGAAAAAAAAGGGGGGAAAAGGGTGGAAAGAGGGAAAAAAGGGGAAAAGGAAAACAAAGTGGGAAGAAAAAAAGCGAAAAGAGAAAAAATTAAAAGTGGGGGAAAGAAAAAAGGCAAAAAAAAAAGGGAGAAGCAAAAAAAAAAGGAAAAAGACCAAAATTTAAAAGTGTGGGAAAGAAAAAAAGGCCAAAAAAAGGGAAAAGGAAAAAAAGGGGGAAAGAAAAAAAAAAGGGGCGGGGGGAAGGAAAAAAAATGAAAGAAAAAAAATTAAAAGTGGGGGAAAGAAACAAGGCCCAAAAAAAAACCGTTAAAAAAAAAAAAAAAAAGGAAAAAACTGAAAAAAGGAAAAAGCAAAATAAAAGGAAAAAGCAAAAAAAAAAAGGGAAAAGAACAAATTTTAAAAGTGGGGGAAAGAAAAAAGGCAAAAAAAAAAAAAAAAAAAAAGAAAAAAAGGAAAAAGCACAAAAAAAAGGGAAAAGAGCAAAATTTAAAAGTGGGGGAAAGAATAAATTTTAAAAGTGGAGGGAAAAATAGGCCAAAAAAAAGGGAAAAGAAAAAAAAAAGGAAAAGCAAAAAAAAAGGGACAAGAACAAAATTTAAAAGTGGGGGAAAGAATAAATTTTAAAAGTGGAGGGAAAAATAGGCCAAAAAAAAGGGAAAAGAAAAAAAAAAGGAAAAGCAAAAAAAAAGGGACAAGAACAAAATTTAAAAGTGGGGGAAAGAAAAAAAGCAAAAAAAGGTGAAAGAAAGGAAAAAAATAATTTCAAAAGTGGGGGAAAGAAAAAAGAGAAAAGGGAGGGGATAGGGGGGAAGAAAAAAGGAAAAAGGGGAGGAAGAAAGGGGAAAAGGTAAAAGAGAAAGAAGCAAAGGAGAAAGAAAAAAGGGGGGAACAGGAGGGAAAAAGGAAAAGGGGAGGGAGGAAGGAAGGAAAGGGGCGGGAAGGGGGAAAATGCAGAAAAATAAAAGGAGAAAAGGAAAAGAGGGGCAGAGGGAAAAGGAAAAAGGGGGAAAAAGGACGAAAGGGAAAAAAATAAGAAGAAAATATGGAACAAAGGAGGGGGGAAAGAGATGAAAGAGAGCTCCTAGATGTCCTGGAAAGATTCAATGAAATCTCAGCTCTGCTCACGGGCAGCTGCTGCTGGAGTTGCTGCATCCCCCCCGTCACTGCTCACCAGCAGTTTCACTAGTGACCACTGAAAAGTCACCTCACTTGTTGGCAGGGGTTTGCCAGCCGTCAGAGTTTGCTGGTGGGGTAAAAAGCTGGCAGGGTGAAGCTGAGGGCCTCAAATGGTTGCCGTGAACACTGGAACAAACAGCTGTGGACACGTTTGAGCCCCAGTCAAAGCCTCAGCAGGGTCGTGAAAAAAACTCTTGAATGTGAAAGGGCCTGGCTCTCAATACCTTTTGGAGATTGAGTGAAATGTACCTTTTACCTTATATACACTATATATTTGAAAGTGCATACATGCTACGAGACAGGTACCAGCTATTTGAAAAAAGTTGATAGGAGGTAAGGTGGTTCCTCTCCAAGATCCTGTTACCTTGCCACATTTTTCCATGCAAAGGCCCCACCACTCCCCAGTACAGCAATAATTGTTCACGCTTCTCTGATTATGTTGGCTTTATTAAGTACAGTATTGTAACCCTCAGCAGTCTCGTTCCTGCTTTTTCTTATGTGTATAATTGCTTTGTCAATTTTATTTCAACATAAAATAGGGCCTGAAAATTTATGCCCGGCAGACAGGCATCATTTAGGACTACAATGAGATGTCAGGCTGGAAGTGGGCAGTAGCCCCAGCTAACGAGGTGTCCCCACAACACCGACAGCCTGGTGAAGACAGAGGAGATTTTTCTGTCCTGCTTCACGGAGACATGACTCCTCTGTCACGGCCCAGAGAATTTTCGCTGCAGCCCATGAATTCCTGCCTGTGTCTGGTTATTTTCAAAGGGCTCAATGTGTTGAGGAAAGAGCCTGCAGAACCAAGTCGAGCCTGCAGAAGGGCTCATTTCCAGCAGGCTGGGTGACACCTGTTGGCCTTCTCTCCTCCACTCACTCAGTATTTACAGAGACAAGACACCGTTTCCACCAAGAGACACAGTTCTGTCTCCCCCAGGGGCTGCCCCTCCATCGCAGCCATCTCCTGCTGTGGCATCAGGTCAGGAGATCCATCTTGATCAGGACTAGCCCAGGCGAAAAGGGAGACAGTGTCTGACCACTATAACCCGGACATTTTGCTTGGGAGGGAAGGGATGGAGCAGAGCCCTGAGCCCACAGACTGTGTCCATGGGTTCAGGCCCTCTTGCATGCACTTGCCCAGTTCCAGATACAACTGTCTTACCTAATAACCAAACTCATTTTACTCGTGCTTACCTTTATCCCCTTTGTTTCTATCACTGCAGCTTCCCCTACCCCTCTTGCAGGCCACCGATTGTGCTTCGGGGGATGAAGCAGCAATCCACCCAGGCGGTGAAGGTCTCTCACTTGATGGACATCTCTGCAGTGTCCCTGCCACACCACTGTGTCCCTGAAATGACTTGATGAAAGCACACACAGCTTACTCTGGACACCTTCTTTTAAGAAGTTTTAGACTTGAATCCTTCATTAAATACAAACTGAATTAACTTTACATCTATATTGCACACAGCAGAGATGAAGGACTAACCTAGGAGTTCCTCTTCCATTTTACTAATGCACACAGAAGTTAGCTGTTACCTAGGGTAGCTAATACCTCTAACGTGCTTTTGAATATGTATTATTTTAAACAGAAAACTGAGATGACATTCCAAGAACTAACAAAAG